AATCTCTTCTTTTAGAAGTTCAAGAACCCCTTTTTCTTTAAAGGGGTCTAGGGGGATTCTATAAGCTATTAGATAAGACTACTTTTTATCTTTCCTAATCTGTAGTTTTTCTCCTAGGTTTGGGAGATGGTATTTAACTATCTTTTCCCAGATCTGTTGAGTCTATAGGAGAAATGAAGCTAAGAAATTAGGCATAGTGGTAAAGGTAATATTATCTCCACTAAAGGTTTTTTCTACCGTTGCTAGAATAGGGCTAGTAATTCCCTTTTCTTGAGTAAAATCTATATTAATAGCGTTTCTTATATCATATCCTTTTAAGTAGTCTTGAGATTTTGGAATACTAATATAGAGCTTCCTCTAAAAAGAAGAGATATTAGTAGTTTTAGGGACTTTTTTAGAGATTTCCTAAGATAGCTCTTTTGATTTTTTAGTCCCGTTTTACCCTTTCACAATGGAGGCATAGGAGGGTCTCTGAGGTAGTTCTTGCTCTACCTTCTCCTACTCCTCTTTCTCTAGTGAGTTCTCTAGAGATCGTATTCTCTCCTCCATCTTCCAAAGAGGGGTTTTTAGGGAGTGTTGTTGATTTTTCCTATAAGCTAGGAGCTGTTTTAATTGTTGCTTCTACTCTTCTAGAATCTCTAAAATTTTTTGCTTCTCTTCCCCTCCAATTTCCTACTCTACAATATTTAGAATAATTTCTAGATTAATCTGCCTGGTTTTCTTAGAGGGAGCGAGGCTAGTCTTTTGATTATTTACTTCTTTCTCCTTATTTTCTTTAGAAGAAGAGGCTTTTGGGCTGCCTTGTGAGGCTCGGTGAGCAGTAGGCGCTGCAGTACCAGTTATATAGCGACGTGGGTTCGAATATAATAAGAACATAAGTATATATTGGATTAAGAACTAATCGCTAACCTTTTTGAAAGAGGTTAGAATTGAAAAGATATATATACAAGTAGAAGCTTAGTAATCAGCTTAGTAATATATTAGTCAGCAGCTTAGTAATCATTGGCATGACCGGACGGCATAACATTCCTTTTGGGGCTCTTTTTCGAGGTAGTATATAGAGGGGTATTGTGGGGCTTGTGGGCTAAAGGTACTGCGAGATTAGTGACGAATAGATAACGAATGTATATAGATTGCTAATAAGGAGCTAATTACTGATTCCGTATAAATGGATCAGTGAAACGGTGTGCTATATATATAATATATCACGTGAGGGCTTAGGTAAGTATGCACGTGACCTAGCACGTGATCTGGCATCACAGGTGTAGGGGTTAAAAGAGGAGAAGGTTGTTTCTCTAGCTCCATTTCTATATCTTCTATCTCTAGAGCTTGGAAGGGGTTGCTTTCCCTAGAGAAGAAGAAAGGAATAAGGGAGACCTTTACTTTAGATTTCTTTGGGGTAGCTTAGACATGAGGATGGATGGGTTGGGTCAAACTCGGGGGGTTAGAAGTTTACTCATCATGGGCGCGGGTAAACCCATCTGGGTGGTGGGCGGGCTGAAGGTGACATGGACTTTACCCACTCGCCCATATAGGCCCCGCCAAGAACCTCGTTTAGGCCGAAAAAGGATAAGTGATGAATTCTCTCAAATATGAGATTCACTTGTATTACTAAGCACTTACTAAGTACTTACTAATCACTTAGTAAACTTATATTACTAAGCACAAGGACTAGACAGCACGTGATATCAAACTCTATTGTATTTACAATCGCTATTATTCATCGAGGCCTTTGCACAAAGGGGCGTTTGTATTATTGATTTAGCTCGACATATACTATTTAGCAGTAGACACCTTCCAGGCGAGGCATTGTCACGGAGGGATATAGCGATATTCAAATAATTGTGAGAATAAAGAATATAATAAAGGAGTAGCTTATTGAACAACTGTATATTATTATTATAATGGCAGCCTCCGGAGTATTCGAGAATAGTACACGCTTAATTATTCTTAGTCTATAGAATATCAAATGGCATTCAGTATACTTGATACCTTATCCATTATAACTTCCAGCAAATGGCTAAATAACAAGGGCATGCCTTTGTTATTTTTGTATAACGGATATATAACGAATAACACATATATTCATAAGTTATAACGGCAAGTTCCGGTCACTGGAATAATAATGTGTTAGCGGCGTGTTATTCTCACAAATATATAAAGCCGCCAAGTACTTCTCTTCACCAAAGTCAAACTAACTTCTTTTTATATTAGAAATCTAGCAAAGCTGGCTCGTTGTAAGAATTTTTTTCTAGAAATCGTCTACTTGTGAGGTCCTTCTTCCATAGAATATTAATAATATACTAACAGAATTAGTATAGTTAAACTTACATCCTGCTTATACCAGTCTATTCTACTATTTGTGAGATTCGTAGTATACAATGGCGAAGCGGCGGCTTACTACAAATTCTAAGAATACTGAATCTCCAATAAAAAAAGCCAAGTTAAAAAAGGAATCGACTACCAGTATAGGCTATAGCACAATCGTCAAGAAAATCAAGAATACCTACGTTAGTACTCTTGTAGTCGACGTTAGGAAATTAAACACAAAGTAGCAAACTAAAGCCAACCGAATATTAAACGAGGCATATATCATTATACTATAAAAAAAATTCAAGTTAAACCTTAGTCTATTTGAGACCCTACACCGTATAAAGAGTCTTGTTAGTAAGAAGGATATGGACCTCTTAATACGGGCTGTATTCACTCACTTTATGGCTAACCAAGCAAAGACCAAGTACTCATAGTGGGAAAATCTTATATTTGAGAGATTTGAGCAAGAGATTGAAAATCCAATAAGTATAGATAAGTTAATAGCCTTAGGTTAGATATCAAACAATTTGTGGCCAAAGGATGTCGAGTCGATTAAACTTACTACTAGACAGTATTGGAGGGCTGCTCTACTTCGTAGCCTTGATACTCAGAGCTTACTGGCCGCAGATAGAGAGGAATAGAGTAACGGAACGGATATTAAAGCTCTAGATAAAGAGGTAAGTTAAATCTAAATCTCATAGATGTTAGATCTAACTATTTATTAGGATTATACCCAGGGTATCGAACTATACTGAAATAACTTACTTGATTCTAAAGGTATGGGTACGTTAAGATCAAATCAAGTATTGCTTAATAAAGTAGATAGTGAAGGTTTCTTCTTTGCTTCGGTATATGAGAGCCTGCAGGCTATGCCTCCCCACAAACGTGATAATATCCTTAGCGGCGAGAAGGTATTCAAGTCTTGGGTAGAGCCTACCTTTGGTATTCCTCCTAAGAATGCTTTAAGATTTCTGGCGGTGTTAGGACGTGAAGAGTTAGCGAGATTATTCTATACGTTTGTTAAAACTACATATAGTGAGGCAAACTTCAACTTTGGTCTGGCTAAGGCGATTGCTAGCTCGCGATTCGACAAGGTAAATCCGAAACTGCTAGTATTTTAACGATATTAATTCTAACAAATATTAGTTTTGGTTTGATAAGTTTTAGAGCTTCGTACTATTTTACTAGTGTCTCTTTCTAGAGAACCATCATAAACATATTGGAAAAATTACCCTGTAGGATTGGCGGATACTCTAGGAGATATCTATTCTAAGAACGCCTGAAGTTTTACGTTCTCTTTTTTTCCTAATAAAAGATGAGAGCTCCGATGAGCTTCGCCAGAATAAACTCTTCGCTATTCCACTTCGTTATCTTGATGACTGGAATCTGCCCAAATTAGCCCAGGAGGTTAAGATTCAAAATGTATCCTATGCGCATCGCCATCCACAATTCCTAAGGAACCTTTCTGATGAGCAATATATCATGGTATATTGGTCTCTAATCCGCGCATACGCAATCAGTTGTCCCCTGTAGTAAGAACCAAGATCAATCTAACAAATGAGAGAATTAAGATTCAAACTAATAATGCGGTAGGGGTGAATGGGTAAAGTTCAACAAGAACGTGGTGCAGGTTTTGCGCAAGCTCTTGAGACATATTATCTGTTGGACTGATGATAATCGGTGGGTCTACCTCTAGGCCACGTCTAAAGAGCTTAAGACCTTTCAATGGGAGACCGAAATCATAGAGAAGATTATAGTGTCGAATAGCATCCCTGATCAAGATCGACCATAGTCTCACCGTATTAGAACAGAGTTTATCAAGAAGTTTGGTAAATAAAATATAAAATTCAAAAAGATAAAACCAGTATTCAATAGGAGCAAAAATGTGATCGAAGGTGCCAGAGACATTCATAATAAATGGGCCCAAATATCGAGTAGGTGGCCTTTAGATGAATTGCGAGACATAGTTGAGGAGCAGAAGGTCTAGATAAGTAAGGATAAGGAACTGAAAGACATGGTAAGTATTACTACCTACAATTCTCACCATTGTTAGATTAAGAAGCCACACTAACTTCTCTCTAGTTAGACCAAGTTCCGCACAAGACCATTAGACAGAACTATAGTAAGCATCCCGCAGTAATTAACTATATTAGTCGATTTCACAATCACCCCTATTAGTTACGAGCGCTAAAGATCGTCGTCCGAATTACGAGCCCTTACTTGAATAAAACCATAGAACGGTTTAATGGATACTACTTGGAAAAGGATCAGGTAAGATATTATCTAAGGGTAGTATGCGATAATCTTATTCCAATATTTATGAAATTCTTAGTCTAATCCGAGGTTTTATCGAATCCCTAATAGATAGGGTAGAATTGCATCGGCCGCGCTCTAACGCGAGAATAATATTCTCAAATATTCAAGATTTCTATAGACTAAAGCTTTTCGCAAATATATTCAGCCTAACTTTAAAATTTTTGGTGCGCTTATATTATACAGCTTTATTAAGCATCGTCTTTCGAAAACCCGAATATACGGGTATACGAAAACTAAAGAGGAGAAGTCTAGGCGATATATTAATAAGGTTAGTTCTTTTAATTGTTAGATTTATATGATTTTCCCGGGCTAATCCATCCCAGGCTAATTTTCTTAATAAAATAACGGAACTTCAGCGTTATAGTATCCAGCTTGCAGACCATAGTATTCTAACAAATATCGATAATATTTCAGAGTCTACTAAGTACTATTGTCTAGATACCATCGCATCTGGTTTCATGAAAATCAGAACCAAGGACTCAGGCCTTTTGTCTACCTTGCCAGATAGAAAAAAGAGTACTATACCCCCGAAGTTTTATCTTCGTCAACTTCGGAAATCGATTAAAAAGTAACATGGCAACTTCCAAAAGCTTATTCCGAAATACCTTCAAGACATGGCCTCGGGTGTGAAAATCAAGTATACGAAAAATAATAAGAGTAATACTGCGGCCCCCAAGCCAAGCTAAGAGGATACGCCTATATTGGATAATAGTAAATCTAAGAATCATACTACCGATAAGGAGAATAGCAATACTGAATCCGATGATAAGGAAAGCAATACTAATTCCGACGAGAGTAGTGATACTAAATCTAATATTGAGAATAGTGATGCTGAATCCGAGAATAATAATACTAAAGCTGAAGACGAGGACAATAATACTAAAGCTAAAGACGAGGATAATGATACTAAAGCTGAGGACGAGAACAATAATACTGAAGCTAAAGACGAGGATAATAATGCTAAATCTGAAGACGAGAGCAAAGATGCTGAATCCGAAGATAAGAACAAGGATATCGAAACTGAAAAGAAGAATGACAATATTGAGCCCGGATATCAGAATAGCAGTACCAAGTCGGATACTAAGTATATGGCCGCTAAGAAGAACCAATAGCATACCCAGACACCAAGTGCTTTAAAAAGCCCACGCACCTCTCGCCGATCTAAGCAACTTAAAACCATTGGTAGCTCCATCAAGGCCTGTGATGAGATTATTGGAATCGCACGTCGTTAACTATGAATTATGATATTCTCTCATTTGTGAGTTTTAACTATCCCTTAATAAGTGAGAAAAGGCTAACTAATACTCAATCTTATAAAGTTTTATCTATATCCTTCGCTTTACCTCGGCGGCCTTGATCGAAACTTGGCATTTATATTGGGATAGGCCCCGGTCTCTATAGTGTTTATGTAGCTAATATCTTTGATAGTAGAACGAAGTTTTCCTTAGATATAATATATAGCAATTAATCAGTTCCTTTTTTATTTCTACGTATATTGCCCAAACTCGCAATTATGAGAATAATATAATAGGTAGGAACATATATAAATTAATTACCCTGTAGAAAATGTCCTTAGTATTGTAATTATCTACCTTAAAATGGTAAAGTAAATATAAGTAGCCGGATACTGTAGATATTTTAATTCGGTATTTCGGTACCAAGAAATAAAGGGAAAATATTATTCCGTTATTCTACTTCGACAATATTTCCCCTCCCTAAGACGTATATTCCGTTAAGGAACTAGCTATCTTGTTAGCATAAATAAGTTAAGTAGGAGTTTTAAGGCTTACCTTTCCGATATCCTTATTTCTGATACGGCACATCTGTTATATATCGGCAGTACCCTGCCCTGTGATATACCCTCGATGGAGTTTCCTCTTGGCAAAGAGTTGGCTTAATAATCCTTACTAGTACCCCGTCCCCTGTATGATATGTTAATTTTGAATCTCGCAAATGTTAGAATAGAAGTGATGGAACTTCGGAAGTAACAGACTTATTGCCGTACTCCTGGGCTATATCTGTTCTATTATACCTAGAATGCATTCTTGAATGGTCTTTCCCAGGACTTGGCCTAGATGTGACCGACCCTACTTTCTCGAATTCTCTTAAATGTTAGAATATATGCCAATATATGGATACCCTGATATTCAAATACTTCTATGTCCCTGGCTTGCACGGTATTGCATATAGTAAAGTACTTAATACGCTCGGTTGGCCCTAGGAGAGAAGAGTATACTGCAGTTATCAAATAAGGAACCGCTACCAGATTTTGAATCTATTTATTGGCCTTCCTAATATTTACTCCGTTATTCACTAGCCTGGCTTGTAGTGAATACAGACGAAATACCTTTAATAAATACTCGAGTGAAGGCAGCTCGGCTAGCCTAGGCAAAGAACTATTTGGATTGGAATGATAATTAATAGGGTCGTGTACTTTGGACTGGTGAGACCTGGGATAGGAGTTTTCATTCCAAGGTCTCCTTCACCCCCTATAGCGAGCGGCACGATACGAAATACTGCTATTACTCCCGCCACGTAAAGCGGTGGTTATTCTGGGGGTCATTCTTTAACTCGGAAAAAGGTCCTATTCTAATATGGAAAGAGGAATGGGGGCTATTTGCTGCTATTACATACTGTCGTCACGTTTTACCCTTAGTGGCATCCTGGATAACGAGGCATACCGATACCTACTTTATGCATAATAATACGACTATTCACCGGTCTATTGTTACACATAAGGAGTTACAGTGGCGAGGGTTAGAGGATATACAGTGGCCCCCCTTCTCACCCGATTTAAACCCGATGGAGGATATTTGGAGCTGGATGATGACTTATATCTAGAATAATTACCGTGATAAACTAGGCCCAAATGATATCGAGCAGGCTTTAATAGCGGCATAGGAGGCTATTCCGAGCGATTTTTTGTGTGAGCTAACACAATCGATGAAGGATCGATGCAGACTAGTTATCGAGTCAGACGGAGGCTCTATTACTAGATAGATTGATCTACGGGAGTAAGGCTGTTGTTTGGGAAGTTGCAGTGATGGTTATCGCCATAGATCAGGTCTTTGTGACATGATAAATCTCTCAAATGTTAGAATCTGAATCAATAGGTTGGTGAAAGGATCCTCTAGCTGGTTATCAAAGGCGGATCTGTATTAACCCTTGTCATTATTTACCTGATATGTATGTTCTCAGCTGATACTATCCCTTGTCTTAGATGCTTTATGATACATCCAGTTTATATAAATCTCACATTTGTTGGATTGGCAGGTGAAAAGGGGGAGGTATAGAACAATGTAGGTGTCAGAATATCCTATCCATTAGTAGTCATTACCTACTAGCTACCCCCGTCCTGAGCGACCATATTCTATTTAAACCATGATGTATGCCACATTCTGATACTTATCTTTTTCCAGAGGCCTCACCCAACTATGACTATCGAAATGTCCACTACAACCCCAAGCTCCTCACGTATTGAGGTGGTTGTACCTCTTCCTCCTCCCGATATAAGTTCGTTCTCTTCTACTGGTACCTTTCACACCGAAGCCATGTCTGATTCAGATCCATATGGACCTCAGGTATGTAAACAATCCTACTTTATTACATGAGTATAACTAACTAATATTTATGGAATATAGTGACTGAAGAGCCTACTGTTATTCCTGGTACCCCGAATGAACAGACGGGAACAGATAGTGAATACGAAGCAACGGAAACTAATCATTTGGTGACTCGCGGTATCTGTACTAAATGGGATCCGACCTTAAATCTCATAATTGTGACAATTCACAGAACTACGCAGCGAATTATTATGTTATCGGGACCATTCCAGCAGGGAACGCGGGAGGCCTTCTACCACTAGTGGAGGAGGACTACCTGGAATGAGGAGTATCCGCAATGCTACTTCCGTACAACGGGCCGCTCCTCCCATGTTTGGCAGTTATTTACAGAAGGAGCTGAGTTCCCATCTGGAATCCCGGTTATCAAGTGTAACTCGTGTGCTACAATATTTTCGCATACTGCTATGCCCCGTTCAATCGGCACAAGCTCCCTAGTTCGTCACCTTCGAGCTTCCCCTCTTTGTCGTGGACCTACACCTCGTGTTAAAACGATTACAGAGGCATTCGCCTCGCAGACGGAATTTATGTATACTCCTGAACGACTTAAGAAGTATACTCTAGAGTTTATCCTTAACCGTTGCTTACCATTTGCCCTTATTAACTCGCCTTTATTCCAACGGCTCCTTCGTCTAGCTGCTGGTAATGCTTCACTTCCAATCCCATCGCGTCATCAACTTACGTCGTTCCTTACTGAGAAGGTGGAAACATCAATATCAGAACAGCTTACCAAAATCCCTCCTAGCGCAATAGTATCATTCGCCTTGGACTGCTGGACAAGCCCTAGTACGCACTTATTTATAGCCATCGTCCTTTACTATATTAATGAGGATTGGGAGGTTCGCAAGCTACTATTGGAATTTGCCCCCCTTACTAGTACTTATACTAGGGACCGACTTGCCAAGGTAGTGTTCGAAGTCCTCGTTCACCACAATCTTGTTAATAGAGTGCTGTCTGTTACAGCAGACAATGCTTCGAATAATGGGACATTATGCTCCTGGCTTATGTCCTATATCCGGACTCATGGTGCCGATCAGCCTGGCTATAATCCTGGCCTAGCTAGCATCCTGTCGATTGAGGAGCACATCCCGTGTATCCTACATATTGTCAACCTGGTAGCGAAGGTGATCCTAAAGTCAATCCGAGCGGAGCCTTCCAATGATGAGGAGATCACCACATAGAACCCTTCGGGTTTGCGTGTGCGAAGTAATGCGGGACTACCATACTCTCTTGAAAAGGTATTACTATTTATTACTACCCTTCATTAACAATTCCAACAATTGTTTGTTTTATAGTTCTAACAATTGTTTGCTTTATAGATCCGCAATCTTTCTGTGCTCATCACTACTAGCTCAAAGAGGTTGGATCTCTTCAAGGAGCTACAGGCTAGCAGAGAGGGGGGGCCGCTCCTCCCTCGTCATGATTGCCAGACACGCTGGAACTCGACACTCCATATGCTTGCTCGCGCCATGGAGCTTCGTGATACATTTATACTCTTCATCCAACGCTGGCTAGATGATGATCTATCTCATCTACGCATTCAGGCTGAAGAATAGTCCCAGCTAGAATACCTTTTCGAGCTTCTTGTCCCATTTTACGTGGTGACGCTTGGTGTTTCAAAGGCCGCCGACCCATCAGTTAACCTGATTTACGATATATACGAATACCTCTACGACCATTTGGATGCCTCTATTAAGAAACTCAAAACCAAACGTGTTCCATGAAAGATAACATTATATACCGGAATCAGAGCTGCTCGCGAAAAGCTGTCGACGTACTATGCTCAGATAAATAAAGCTTAGAGATATCTCTATGCAATGGCTACCATTCTTGATCCGAAATCAAAGCTACAGACATTCAATAAGGCCTCATGGAGAGAGGAAGCTGAGGACCTAAGGGATGGGTCACCCGAAGCAGATATTGACTGGGCGCAAGAGTATCGACAATGCTTTGAAGATATCTTCTCTTATTATCGGGTACAATATCCAGATATTATTATACCCGAACACACGCGTCACCGAACTCTCTTTGAGTATCTGCGTGACAAGGGCTTCGCATCAAAGAAACAGAAGGATCTACAAGGCAAGTCTCGAGAGGCCATCGTTTTCAGTGAGGTTGCGGAGTATCTTGGTGAAGGTAAGACGTTATAATTCTCCCAAATGTGAGATTTATATATTCTAACATATGTGAGATTCAGGAACCGTCCAAGATATATCGATCCTCGAGTACTGGAAAGTAAACTCCAAGCGCTTTCTGATTGTTTCTATGATGGCTCGTGATATTCTGGTAGTTCCGCCTTCCACTGTGGGTGTAGAGCGGTTGTTCAATATCGCTCGTGATGTGAAATACTTTCGCCGTGCCGGACTGAATCCCCAGACCGTCCGGGCTATCATGGTGGAGCTTGCTAGTAACCGCCTTGATAGAGACAGGCTCGTTGCCAATGACCCCTCTGAGGCTGAAGACTTTACTCCTATGGCGTCCCTTCGTCACATACAGCGCCTTGACCAAGTGATGGAGCCTACTATCATGGAGTTCTCGAACAGGGAGTATATTAGTGATACTGAGGACCCGCTTCCCCGTCGTCAATCAACTGCGCCTATTAATGAGGAAGAGGAAAATGGGTATGAGCCGACCCCTTCTAGTGCTCGAGCACGTCGCCGCAGTAAACGGGTACTGATCTAATATTTACTTGCCTGATCCTGATGTTTTTTTCTATTATACTCCGCTCCTGTATTTAGTGGTGATGCCAGCTTTGTTGTCGATTGCTCTTTATGTATATCTTGATTATATCTTTTGTATTTTCTATATATTATATCTGTGGCGTTATAAATTTATACATTGTACATGATATAACTATATCCTATATACTTTCACAATCTCACAATTGTGAGATTGAAATAAATTTCATACCTTTCGGGTTAAATCTTTACCTTATGCTAGCGAATAATACTCCAGATAATTTTAATAGCGTACTATATTATTAATTCTCACATTTGCGAGATTCGCGTTTTAACTCACAGGGATATTAAACCTTATAGATGGGTCCCGTGGGCGACCCATCTGCCCGCTCAGATTTTTGAACCCACCCACTACCCACCCACTGCCCTCGCCAGCTGACTATGGTGGGCAAAACCCACACCCACCCATTTACCCATGGGTTGAGTTCTGTCCATCCTCATGTCTAGGGTAGCTATTATTTTCTTTCTAACTACCATTTAAATAAGTAGGTTTTATTAGGTTACCTAAAACTCTAGGTTTATAGGTTACCTGTAACTATTAGACTTCCGTATGGGCGGGCTGGGCGAGCAGAGGCCTTAGGCCTGCCCGCCCACGCCTGTCCATGGGCCGCCCATGAGCACCCCCTGCCCGCCCATGGGCCGCCCACGGATAAGGTTTAATGCCAAGCCCTAATTAGTCAGCCACTAGCGTATATAGGTAGGCTTACTAATTACCTCCCTAGAGCTTATTTTTTTATATTTTTAGCTATTAAATTAACCTAGTTAGAGTATTTTTTAAAATAGAGACAAAGAAAGGTTCGGATTTTTAAAATTGCAATAATTAAATAAATAAAATAGCTAAAAATATAAAAAAAATACTACTAGACCCCGATATATTACTTGCTTATATAATCGCCAAGAAATGCCAAGAAAACCTATGGGCGGCGCATGGACACGTGGGTGGGCAGGTAGATGACCCCTGCCCGCCCATGCCCCATGAAAGGCAGGCCCCGCCCGCCCATTCGGCCCATGGGCCGCCGCCCGCCCAGCTGCCCATGGGTTTGGCCCGCCCATACGGAAGTCTAGTAGCTATTCTGTGAAAGAAAACGTGCTAATAGTAGATTTAACCAGATATATCTCTAAAAATAGGACATATATTCTTTCTTCCTTAGAGAAGTATATTCCAGTAGTAGTTTTTAAGGAGAACTACTAAACTAATAGATTTTTTGCAGGGAAATCTTTCTAAAAACCTAGAGAGATATTTCTAGATAGTATAGTCCACCTCAGGGGATACCTAACTTGGATAATACTAGGTAGAGTATATTTCTCCATAAAGTGGAAGAGTAAGGGTTAGTTTCCTGTTTTTTCTAAGAAAAAACCTAGGAAGAAAAGCTACTATCTTTTAAGTAGTGATAGTCAACTATTTCACTTTTCCTTTTAGCAGAGAATTGGAAACTAAAACAACTACTTTGGTTCGCTTTTAAGTGGAGGTCTCTACCTTCTAGTTCTAGTTTAGAACCTTCCAGTATTATAGAGGCCTCTAGTTTCTTAAAAGGGGTTTAAAAATCTATGTAAAACGTATTGCATAAGCTAGGTCTATTTAGATATCTTAGCCTACTAAAAGAAATCATTTTGAGCCTAAGATCACTAAAGATAGCTAGGCTAGTTTCCAGTAGTTCCCATTTGCAGGGACCTAATAGCTTAGCCCAACTATTGGGTATTTGGCTGTGGCCGCTGATTTTGGGTAACGTAGATTAGATAAGGAAAAATAAGGATTAATAAGCGATAAGATAGATAAGATAGGATAAGGAAAATCAAAATTAGAGAAAGGCAAGGGCAGAAGGAAAAAGAGGGCTTAGGTAAGCAGGGTTTGGCAGAGAAAATCAAAACAGAGCAGAAAACTTTTCCCGGGATATTGGGGTGTTTTTCAGCGAAATTTCTCCAGAAGTAGGAGGTATTTTGGGGTCAAAATTGAACCGTAGATTGAGCTCAGTAAAAGCTTCAAATTGAGTCGCTTTTGGCCATAAATGGCCATCAGCTGCTTGTGTTCTGTGCAATACCTATATATAGATTGCAGATTACCTCAAGCACAATACCAGGCTAGTAAGGTTAATGAAGGTAGAGAAGAAGTATCTGACTCTGGAATGGCGAGATGGATGTATTTAAGCACCTCCCGATATACAACGTTTCGGGTAAGCGGGCCTGGGTCTAAGTTAACAGAAAATTGAGAGGCTGGGACTAGGGTATACTCAGGGATATCCCTCTCTATATTCTGATCTGACCCATTAGTAGTGGCTATAGCTAATCCTTTCCTAGCCTCTGGATTTAATAGAACGGTGATTCGTTTAGTATCTATTGCCCGGGATAATGCAATATATAGCTGGCCGTGTGTAAACACGGGAGAGCGGATATCAACTATAATATACTCTAATGATTGGCTCTGAGCTTTATTAATAGTTATTGCAAAGGCTAGCCTCTCGAGGAATTAATGCCGGTAGAGCTTGAATGGGAAGTCCAGAGCGTTACTCTCATGCCGAACACGGTAAATAGGGTGGATATTCCTGTCGAAATCCCCACTATTAATTTGAACTTCGAGATATTGATGCAGAGCCCGGCGTAAAATAAAACGTGTTCTATTGCAGAGCCCTTTAGATGGGTTTAAATTCCGCAAAAGCATTATCGGAACGCCAATCTTGAGGCGTAACTTAGATGGTGGCGGAGAACCGGAATTTGGAGACTGTAGAAATTCCCGCGAGACTTCCTTATGGGCTGCATCATTGATATCAGTGGTGTTAATTGCATATCGAGTAAGCACTTCTCTCGGGAACTTAGCGAGGAAGTACTGGTTAAGAAGCCGCACATTCTCGTTTAAAGATGTCACGATAGCACGATCCTTAAAGAACTCTGGGTTAGTAGAATTCTCTGCGAGATTTGGGTACGCCCAGTCCGTAAAGGCAGTCAAATTAGTGGTGGACTTGATGACTGGGTGGAGCCGGATCCAACCCTGCAGGGATTCATCAATAGTGAGCCTTGCCAGCCACTCTGCAAAAGCTCGATTTTCAGAGGTAGCACTTCGAAGTCTCATATTCTCACGCAGACTCAGAATGCGTAAATCCCGCCAGACATTAGCGTTGTGCATTGTGGCGTCAATAATATCTTGCTGGGTACCCATCGGGATAACGGGTAAAATTTGCTGGAAGTCCCCACCCAAAATAGTTGGTAGACCACCAAAGGGGGAATCAACCTGACGGATGTCGCGGAGCGATCGATCAACAGCATTAAATACCTGAGCTGAAGTCATTGAAGTGTCATCCCAGATAAGTAAAGATGTCTGCTGGAGCAGCTCTGCTAGCTGAGAAGATCTAGAGATATTGCATGTTGAATGGTCTTCGATAGGGATTGGGATCTTAAAACGTTTGTGCGCAGTCCTGCCCCCGGGTAAAAGGGTAGAAGCAATACCCGTAGACGCAACACAGAGCACAATAAGGCCTTGGCTACGTATGCGTGCGCAGATAGTTCGATATAGAAATGTCTTTCCAGTGCCGCCGGGACCATTAAGGAAGAATAATGTCTTCTCTGGTATCTGCTCTAGAGCCTCTAAGATAGTTCCGTAAGATCGTTGTTGATCAGTGTTGAGTTGCGCTTCCAGCTGCTCAGCTAAAGCTTCCTGCTCAGCTCGGTTATAGGCTAATTCCGCGGCAATAAGGGGGTTCGTTGGTATCCCGTTTCCTTCCCAGTCATTTTCAAACATTGGTAGCCCAAACTCCTCAAGGGAATGTTCTTCTTGTTGGAGCAGACGATAGATAAAGTAGAGACCTAAATCTCTCGAAGCTTTCTCCATAGTCCAGTTAGAGGGATAGTTAAGATCGCCTTGTGAAATCCGTAAAGAAAGATCATCGCAGAACTGGTTGCCGAATTGAGACCAAATCCTAAGGGCAGCGTCCTTATCTAGACTTCCAAATGATAGAGCTGACACAAACATCATTCTAAGAGCAGTTCCAGTTCGTAGCTGGCAGGCCTCCTTAAAGCAGAATGTCCACTCATCATCTCCTGCTAGAAGCCCTAGAGCATAGCAGGCTTCCTGAAATGTGGGTTAAACAACCCCGTTAACGGTTCTGAGGTCTTGATAACTCTTGGGGCCTCGCACAACGGTAAGGAGACATCGAATATAGTAGGCGTTCTGTACAGGTGATAGAGGGTGCATTCGGCCAATCTGTCTCGACTCCTGTTTCCGTGGCTTCCAGCATCTATCTCTTGACGTTATTAGCGCATATTCCAGATCAGAAAGGATAGAGACTTACTTGCGGTCCCAAACGTATCGAGATGCCATCTCCTGATATAGAAGTTTCTCCGTAGAGTGGCCTCTATTATGGGAGAAGAAGGCATCAAGCTGAGATACCTGTCTATCGATCTGTTCTAGCATGTCTTGGGTGTCTTGGCTTTGGTCCCAGACCACAGTCTGCTGAGATGGCAGGTGAACCACCAAAGGAAGGACTGGGGGGTAGTGGGAATGGATCGAGAAGCCAAACAGTCTCCAGGCCGCCTCCATAGCGCCCATATATCGCCCTGACACATACTGCTTTATCTCATCTGTCCCTCCTGAATCGAATTCGACAGTGGCGCGATCTGAGCCTTTATGAATGTATTTGTGAATATAGCGAACAGAACCCAGCGAGGCACACGATTCCACGTTGATATGAGCGTTAAATATCGAGCAAAGGTATGGGCTATAGGGAGCGACCCAACTATCATGGATCTGGACCGTTGGGATAGTTCGGCGCAGATCGAGGTTAGGATGCGGTATATCAGTGCGAACCTGATCTCTACGTCGATACTCAGCATATCTAGCAGACGTTAAGATAGTATCAGGACGCAGTTTCTTCGGGAAGACTTTGGAACAGGGCTGCGGCTTGCCATTATCATCCAAGCTACAGGGAGATTTTGGCTGCCCATTACCTGCTCCGCAGGGCCGGTGGATCATATGCTTCGTTATGATCGGAAATAGAGGATCGTTCTCGGGGGAATCTCAGCACACACAAATTTATCAATATATTCCGGGTTATCCCAAGCGCCATCGATCCAAAAGAGAGTGTGGGAGTGAGGAAGACCGCGTTTCTGCCATTCGATAACCTAGGGAGATAGAGAAGAAGTTAATGGAAGTTGGAATAGTTAAAAAGAACCAAGGGTTACTTACCTGAACGTGTGCCCGATATTTACCAAAATGGCCTTTGCGAAAGATATCAATCATAGCATTATTCTTTAAATTGAATACTCGAGACACTAAATCAGGACGGTCATTCCAGACCTGCTGAGGAGTCCCATCCGAGCCTTTAAGTAGGTTATTAGCTATCTCAGGCCAATGGGGGTTCGCTGTAAAAGTCACGAAGAAGGCTGGCTTGCCGTAATGTTGAACAATAGCCATCGAGTCCTGGTAATGTTGCTGCATGTTCCTAACTGAGCCAGTAAAGGTGGCAGGCAGAATACGACGGCCGATGGAGTCTGGTGTAGCTTCAGCTGCCATCATATCGCGTGTATTCTGATAGAGCTCAGCTCGAATAGTCTTCTGGTTGTAGTAGAAGTACTGAAGTCTCTGCATATCAACAGAGAGAAAAATATCAACCACAAACTGCTGAAAGAGAGCGGCTCCTCTATGGAGGATGTTGAATGAGCCTTCCCTATCCCAGAGGTGCCAACGAGAGAAGGAACGAATAGTAACCTGCTTGTTTCGCCGTGGTGCTCCAGCGGTGGTGAGGCTGCGCAGGATTGATGAGCGGTTATGGCCTCGGCCGCCAGTGGCATAAAATAACACATAGTGAAGAGGGAGATATAGTGGATGTTCAAAGTGAATGTAGGAGAACCACCGGCCCTGGGTATCTTGAGCCGGAGCGGCAGCATCGGTATCGTCGGTTAAAGAGTTTCGAATATGGGAGATGAACGGATCGGCTTCACCGCGAGTCAGATCAGGGGCCTCCTTAAGATATAATAAGACGTCTCGATAGCCCGTGTCGCCATACTCATGAGGGATATCGGGGATAAAGCCAGCAATCTCAGTGTTGGCCTGGCTAACCGGGAGGTCATACTGCTGTCCAGAATCAGGGTCCTTCATCAATCTGAGGGAAGGAGTCAATCGAACATGACCGAGCTCAATATTCTCTTGCAGTACCTCCCTAACGCACCTAAAGAGGCGATAGTAGGGATTGTGGGCTCGAATGTAATCGTTGGCGATGGAGACAACCTCCGGGAGATATCTAACATGGCCGATATTAGCCAACCGCCGTGACATTGCTTTCTGGGGGCTAAGGAAGTAGAGCTGAGCAAAGGCTGGTTCTTGGCCCGGGCGAGCTTCCAACGGCCCTTGCTTATGATAAGTCGTCCCCTGAATCTGATATATATAAGTATGTTCATGGGCGCGCAGACAATCAGACTTGCGAGCCGTAATAGCAGTAAAGGCCAAAGAGTTGTTAACGTGTCTGATATGCCTGCGGAACAGTCGACCCAATCTGCCAGCCTCATTCTGAGGATTATTATCGCAGAATAGGCTTCCTATAGGTGAGTCAACTGGGGGTTCGGGTATAGGCGAATGGCCAGCGAACTCATGCATATCGAGGCCGCCGTTCTTGCAGCACAGGAAGAAACGGTCCCTCTTCTGCTTCGGCAGCTTCTCATCCCAGAAGATAGCCCTGCAATGAGGGCATATAATCGATCTGTCGCCTGTGTCGTGGGTAACCCAAAGCCCTCGATTATCAACGCTGGCAAGAAGGGATCCAGCCTCGCCGATATCCTCGATAGCATCCACTAAGGTAGCTAAAGAGAAGCCGTTGACAATATCCAGGCAGGTCGAGCAGCGTTCTATATGGGTATAGGGCTCTAGTGTATTGCCGCAGCTGCAGTGCTTGGGGGCTGATGACGCAGCCCTCAGTCGAACCCTCTCACTTCGGCAAAGATTGCACGCAGCATAACGACGGTCCGAATAAGAACGCCCACACCCATTTGTACGGCAGATACGCCTATCGGTTCGAATGATGAATGGGGGGCTTGATTCAGCAGCTATCGGTGGCTCTGATTCCGTGACATTACTTGCAGTAGGTTCGGCACGCGGAGGTGGTATAGATGCTAGTTGGGAAGGGATCGAGCTTGCTGGTGTTATATCGGTAATTGCTAACTGACTGGAACTGGATACCGAAGACGCCGAAGTAGCAGCCGCGAAAGAAGACACTGGGATGGGGAGGGTAGCTCCAGATCCAGGGCGGCAGTCCCTACAGTACTTCCATTTTCCATCCGCTACGTCTTCCAATATAATGGAGCATCTAAAACACTTCCTGGGCAGACATTCTGAGCAGACCTTTCGCCGGTACGAAGGGGGTAAAGTCGTGGAGCATCGAGAGCAATATCGAGCGAAGCGAGCGTCTCTACAGGGAGAGCACCATTTTTGACGTGAGCCAGCCTCCAGAGCATGATTGCAGGTCTCACAGTATCTGGTTTTCGGGGTGCGAGGCATCGAACAGTGTATATATATAGAAAGAACTGAGTATATATATATAAAGAGAAGATTGAATATGATAAACAGAGAAAAAGGCAGCAACAGCGACGTGGTTGGTATATATGTCTAGATAGCTGGAGCACGGACCAACTAACTGCTAAGCTTTAACGGAAGCTATTATTAAGTGCCGGGCCGGAGCTCTATTACGCAGCAAACACGGGAGATGAAACTTACTCAGCAAAGCACGTGGGAGGATGTTTACCCAGCAAAACACGTAGGATGAAACTTACTCAGCAAACACGTGAGATCAAACTTACTCAGCAAAGGCACGTGAGAGGGAAATTATTCAGCAAACACGTGATACTAAATTCCGGCCCACAGTACCATTCGAGGTCCGCGGTCCACGGTCCATGGTACCACGCCGCAGCACGCTGGGCCGCGAGCAGCTGATAGTCAATATATGTAGCCGATCAGCTGACTTTGGTGTTCCGCCGCCAAGCCAAAACGAAGTATTTCTCAGCAGTCACGTGACACCACATCAAAAGTCGACACAACTTCCAAAAACGGATAAAACAACAATGAAGAAAGATAGATGGACAGTTCAAAAAATGGCCAAATGGTCCGCAGAGGCCTTATCTATCAACTGACGGAGGAAGAAGTAAAAAAAAAGACGGAAGGGGGTGTTTTTGACGTAGCAACACTTTTTACAACTACTGCAGACAGACTACGCGGGCACGTAACTCGAAATTGT